TCTTGTTGGTTGTTGTTGTTGTCGTTGTCGTTGTTGTTGTCATTGTTTTTGTTTTTGTTGTTGTTGTGGTTGTGGTTGTTGTTGTGGTTGTTGTTGTTGTTGATGTTGTTGTGGTTGTTGTTTGTTGTTGCTGTTGTTGTTGTTTGTTTGTTTGTTTGCTTGTTTGTTTGTTTGTTTGTTTGTTGTTGTGGTTGTGGTTGTGGTTGTGGTTGTGGTTTGTTGTTTCTTGTTTGTTTGTTTGGTTGGTTGGTTGGTTGCTTGCTTGGTTGGTTGAGTGATTGATTGATTGATTGATTGGTTGGTTGGTTGTTGTTTTTTGTTTTTTGGTGTGCTTGCTTTTTGTTTGTTTCTTTCTTTCTTTGTTTCTTTCTTTCTTTGTTTGTTTGTTTGTTTTTGGTGGCTGTTAGTTGTTGGTTGTGACGCACGCACGATCTCTGCTGAGTGACAGTGGGTCGGTCCTCTGCGTCTGGATCCGAAGCTCTGGGGGCAGGTTGGGGCGATGTTGAGGCTTTGGCGTTTGTTGAGGCTATGATATGCAAATCGTGCAGAGCAAATAGGTAAGCATGGCTCGTACCACCTCTGAACCGGCCCGGTCACCCAAAAATATATATAGCGACGATGCATGATGGGCATTGATCATTTTCATTCTGAATGCAGCGTCACATTGTGAAAGGCATTGCATCAGGCAATTGCAACAGCAGGGCATTGATATTGATCCTCGCGGTTTTCGGGCCCATCGAATCACTTTCACACTGGCTGGCTACTTAGCATTGCTGGAGTCTGGGCTGCAAATCGTTGACGGGGGACGCCGCTGCCGCAATGGGTGGCCCCCCCCCCCCCGTGGTGGTCAAGCGATCCCGCGCTCGCACGGCCAAGCGCGCTCCGGCATAGTGAACGAGCTTTGTGACCCGGCTTGGCGCACACATCCGCATGTGTCCACCGGAGGTCTTATCATATATAAATGCATCCTACCCACCTCGATCCTCGCTTCCAGTGCCGCTCGCACTGCATTTGGCATTGGACTCTTTCGCAAACGTGGGTCCTCAAGCAGCACACTGTCACCAAGCCCGGAAACCTGGACCAGAATAAGCCTTTGAATGTGGCTGGGGTTGTCCAGGAGGTTGGGCCGACCGTCACCAGTGAAGCCACGACTTTCTCCCGCGCCGAACGGTGACTCTGCTCTGGGGCGCCAGGCGTGCAGTCAATTCCTCGACGCTGATTTTCCGGAGGTAAATCAAACCAAGCTGGGTACAGTTCGTGGAGACCTCACCCACCAAACAGCCATGTTATTTTGTGCCCACTGTGTTAAAACAAGTCCGTCCAGTGCTAACCTGAAGCCCGCCTATGGCCAGGCAATCTGTTGGGTGCTTTGAAGCCCGCACCTGCCACACCCTTAACCTCTGAGACCTGGTTTTGGCCAGTCTGCAACCTGTCTGGTCACAAACCTCCCCAACCTCACCACAGTCAAGGGTGGTTGTCGCAAGCCACGTTGGACAACCGCCTGGCGCGCAGTGTCCTTTAGCACACTGACCCCCTGTCGGGGTTTGAAGGACCGTCAGACTCCCGTCAGACTCGTCCGACCATGCGTTATCCCTTGCTTCCTGGCCCACCGGCCATGAATTTCATGGGCTGAATCCCGAATCAACTGAGGATTTCAATTTCGCACTACAAACACCAGGTCGTTCCATTTTTTAAAACGGTCGAACGGAAGTCTAGGGTCATTTTTTGCCTGCTTTCTGGTTGGGCGCGACGATGCGACACGTGATATCTCGTGATCGGTGGGCATACTCATACTACTACCTCCTATAAGATCGTTGGGGTGGGCGTGGAGGCTCTTGAGGATGTGGTTGGAGCTTTCGGGATTGATACGAAGCCCTGTCCTTTTTACACTCAAACATCGGGCACCAAAGCATGCAAAATCACCAACACGCTTTCGCACAGCGGGCACGTCGCAGGCCCGGCATCCCGGGTTGGCAGCAGCAGCAGCAGCAGCAGCAGCAGCACACTGCAGCGGCACCAGCACCCAGGCTCCTGCACTTGAAGTAAGAACCCCAACAGTTTTCGCTATTTCGTTTTGCTTGGAAAGAAACATCTCGTTCCTAAATGTTTTACCTCTTGGCGTTTTCTCAGCACACACAGGTTCCTCCGTTAACGGCCCCTTTCGCCTTTCGCCGCGTCGCGTGGTGACCGATCCGGTCGCGCGAGGACCATTCCCTTAGCTCACTTGGGGGGGGAGTCGCCCAGGGAGCCTGTCAGGCGAGTGTGGCGCGAGTTTGGTGGTTTTTCCCCGGTGCTTTCTTCGTGAATTCTTTGGCAGGTCATTGGGAGGACTGGGGCGGTTTCAGTTCTGTTTCTGTTCAACACAAAAAAAAACCGTGGGTCCTGAATACCTAGATCTTCCAACCGTGACAAACTTCTGCCGTACTGGGCGAGTTGGATGGATGAAGTACGGCACAAATCTTGCACAGGCTCAGGGACCAGTTGTCCCAACTACCGAAGGGCGGGCAGATGCCCATACCAAAGGCGCTGTCTCCTTTTTCAAGCCGAGTCATGCAGCGCTGCCTCAACATCCATTTGAGTTTTAGTTCATGGAGTGTGTTCAATTGGCATTTAGCAGGATATGTTGATGTTAGATGATTCACTTTTAGATGCACTACAATAAGGGTCTTTCTCAGCACTTCAACGTTTTGGCCCCAGCTGGTCCCAGAATAAGGCAGTCCAGCTCGTTCATTCGATTCAGATGGAAACCTCATTTTTCCTGATATTGTTATTGTTATATACTTTATGTTAATCAAACAGAAACACCGCAGCAATGATACAACATCATCATCCATGATTCACCATGTTTTTAAATGTATACTACTTCGGCACTGCATCATACACATCACTGAAGTCGCTGACTCCCATCCATGATTCAAAATGATTCATACGACTTCGGTAATCGTTTTAGAACAAGAATACTCACTCGGAACCGTCGCTGAACCTTCCCCCATCCCATCCCATCCGCGGACCGACCAGGCGCAGATGCCAGCTTGAAGCAGTGGAGCGCGCTTCGCAAGGGTCGTCTTCAGGGACGCAGTCTGAGCAGACTCTTGGTTCTTAGAGGCTCTGAAAAACCAGAGGTCTCCCCCAAGTGGGGAGAATTGCTGACAATCTTTTGATATTTTTTGAGTGAGGCTTTCAATCCAGTATTAATTCGGATAACCCTAGAAGTCCAAAGACTATATTGGAAAATCTTTTCCGGGTCACCTAAAGACCATTCTTTTTATATAGTCTTTGACTCCCAGGGATAAGCTATGGTAAGGTGTTGAAAAGTTTGGGAAAGATTGGAAGGTATTGTTGAGTTTCCGGAGAGTTTCATACCCAGACACTCCATTTATGCCATATTTGCCTACATTGAGGTGGTCAATCTATAGGCAATATGATACATGGAGTGTTTGGGATAGGAGAATGTTTCAGGATTTGCTTCGCAACCTCCATTTTGGGAAGTGGAGCTGGGGAATAGATCAGGACCGGGATGTTCTACGGCGTTTCAGCGGATGTGTGCGTGACGAAATCATCAGTTCATAAATCGACGTCGTCAACAGGATGGTTGCTGGAGACAGACAGATCCATGCAGTTTTGGAGTTGGGGGCGGTGGTCTTGGGGTGATTCGCTGATGTTGAAGACCCTTGGAAATGGCCAGGAGACTTCATTTTTCAGGAAAACAGCTCTGAAAATGATACTGTACCCAACCATGGCCCAGGTTGCGGGTGGAACCGGGTTTCTTGTTCCCCAAGCCCAGCCCAGAAGCTAGGAGTTTTGGACGGGGCGAAGCGACGAGGCTTATTCCCAGGTCCCGTGTTCAGCGGGTTTGAACCAACCAAACAGCCCATCTACAGAACCTGGTTTTGCGCTCGCAGGAGGGCGGGTTTTCGATTGTCCCTATGGGTGAATCGTGCCGGTCTTTCATGTTCAACAGATGGTTTGGCTTAGCAGGATGATGTTCTATTTTCCCCCCAAAAGGGGATGAATCTGTTGATAGTTTCCGGTGGCCGAATCAGCAAAGCCAAGAGAAGGTGGTCCTTTTACCGGATTTGCTCAACCAGGTTTTTCCGCTTCAGGTCGCTGGCATTCTTTTCAGATAGGCGAAAGACACCCAGACACTCCATGGGACCGGAAGGTTTATACCTCAATTGGACCCATTGAAGCCATTTCAACCTTACTTCCTTACCCAGACGCTCCATGTATGCCATAGATCATATATGCCTACATTGGGGTGGTGCCAGGGGGCCCCGGGGGGTCAATGTAGGCATATATGGCAGTCCCATGGAGTGTCTGGGTTAGAGGCAGGTCAGTGGCCGAGGATCTCGGACCGTTGAGCCCGTTTCACCTTCGCTGCAGCGCTTTCCTCGGACGAAAGAGGACTCGCAGCTGCAACCCCTGCGTCTTCTTCGCCTCCGACTATGGCTGCAGCCGTGGGAATCAGTGCGGTTTCTGCCATCGCGGCCATACGCGGGACGATTTCATGCGTCCACCCAAGGAGAAGCGCCGGAGGACCGGGATCAACCGGTCGTCCACCCACCGCGGAACTCCGGAGACCGGTGGTGGCCCACCATTGAATGCTTCGATTTGGGTTTAGATGTTTTTAACCCATGGGATTTGAGAGAAAAGATGAAGGTCAATGCAGGTCGACGTCTAGGGTTGCGGGACCGCTTGGGAAATCTCTGAGCCATTTCGGCCAAGGGCTCCACCCCGAACTTCGGCACTTCCCTGAACGGTGGGAGAAGATCTGCGTCGCATTCGTCCAAGCAACGGGTGCTCCCGGGTCCAGCGGAGGGAGGGTCGGTGGCCGAGGATGCGGTACCGTCACGCCTGGTGAAGCAATGCGTCGGGGGCCGGCAGACGGAGAGGATAGCCGGGTCATCGACGCAATGGTTGGGGTTCGGTCGGGAGCTGTGAAGCGTTTGGGCGAAACGTGCAAGAGCCTTGAGCGACCTGAAGGGGACGACCGAGGGACAGGCGGCCTCGCGACTGGTTTTTGGGGTGGGAGCGACCGATGTGGAAGGATGAAGCAGAAGGTCTGGCAGATGGTGTCACAGAGAAACCTCGATGTGGAAGCGATCCAGCCAGAGCTTCAGAGACTTGGCATGACTGAAGTGATTGGTTGAGAAACCCGTGCCACCGCTGTCGGAAGAGGAAAAGGGGGTGTCGATTTTGAAGCTGAAGGGTGGGTGGGAGATGGGTTTGAAGGTTGGATCGTTCTGGTGTGAACCGATCCGTTTTGGTGATCCATTGTCCATGCTACACTCTACACATCTATGCACACACCCTGTCGTTTTACAATGGCTCCATACGTAAAAGAATCTGATCCACCTAGCACTTCCAATGGGTGCCCTGTCTGGAGACCTGTTTACGTAGGGTAGGGTAGTCTAGCCAGGACACCCATGTCCAGGATGACCCTGGCATGATGAGCCCTTTGGTCGGCAGCGTTGGGTTCCCGAACATCACACCCAGGTGACATGTAGGTCGTTCCTGGGACCCAAAGAGAGGGTCCGCATGGGGTGGCTCATACCCAGACGCGACGAATGGGACCATAGGACTGCCAATCGGGGTGGTGCCAGGGGGGTCAATTGATTGGCATATATGGCAGTCCCATGGAGTGTCTGGGATATACTTCAGAGTGCTGTACGAGTTGCTGTCTTGCGAAGGCAGACGGTGTGATTCAAGCATGAGTGTCTTTGACATTCTTTGACCCTGTTTGATACCCCCCCCCTCCAAGAGTAGGAGGATGGCCCTCGGGCCGCAAGAAGACGATCTTCCTCTAGAAGCAGCAGTCGAGGGTACCACTTCCATAGGCAGTTCGGAAGCTACGGCTAGCATCAACATCGTGTGAGGAAGAGGTGTCCACTGACGACCCCCTAAAGGTGGATGGAAGCAAAAATAGATTTAAAAAACATGTCCCAGCACCCGGCTTCACAGGTCACCTGACACTTGACTAGTCTCCATTTCAGCTACCAGAGGAGACCGGAGTCGGGTGCCAAATCGGATCCGTGTTTCAACAAGTATGTGCCTGAAACAGGTCCCAGACACTCCATGGGACTGCCAAATATATTATATGCCGCCCCAGACAGACCCCTCTGGCACCACCTCTGGCCTGATCGGTCAATATACCAGTCCCATTAGTCGTGTCTGGGTGTGAGGTATAAACAGGTCGCTCTTTCTAGTGCCTGAAACCCGTCTGGACATCACATTTTGGATCCTTCGACCTTGACGGGACCGCTTCGCGTGACCGGACCTCGCCTGTGACTCCATGGACTTTCGCAGCAGCCTTCGGTAGTGTTTCGGACGGTGTTGGTGAAACATGGCGAGGCAAGTGGCACAGCTACATCCTTACATGAGACAGCTGATCCAAGGATTCTTAGACCACTTGGCACAGCAAAGGGGCTGTGCCCAGATCGAAGGAGTGGTTTTCTCTGTTTGAAAGAGGGGGGAAGTCCTGGGCATCAAAGTCCCGGTAAAAGCAGAAGACCATGATCAATGCAGCGGAAAGCCTGTTCTTGAATATTGAAAAGATATGCATACAGACCCCCAGTCATAGATAGAAGTTCGTACCTCCCCACTAAAAAGTGTCTTGGAAACGTACTATATCGGGACCACTCCACACTTTCCCCGTTCGTGTCGTTGCTCTGTGTTCGCGACACCCGACGGCGGCCCACACCGGTCGAAAACCACCACCCACCCCGCTGCCGGGTCGAAGCTCTCCGGTGAAACGGGGAGTGTTTCGGGAAAAACAGCGGAAGCACGGAACCCACGTGCTCCGCGCGGGTTCCCACGCGCCACTTAGACGTGTGGGGCGTGGGTCCGGCGTGGGTCCACCGGAGTGCTCAGAGCTCTCCGGATGAGCCGAGACTTCCGATGGCCGGCACCCCGGCCTCCGCTTCCGAAGCTGTGATTCCGAGGGATGAGTCAGGAGTGAAAAGGAACAAAAAGGACAACACAAAACCGACCGTTCATCCAGAACGAGCAACAGAATTGGAACCACCATTGAAAACCAGGTTTTTTGGTGGTCGCTGTGATGCCCCAGAACGGCGTGGTGGAGGTCTCACCACGCCGGATGTTGGTGCCATACACTGGTGTTCACCGGAGGTGTGTGGGTTCCGGGTATGTGACCTATGACACATTGATACTCATTGATTGATGTATGTCAACTAACAAGCACGTCTTACTTCACAGGTCCAACAGCCACCACCGGAGACCTGTTTTCATGTCGGGTGCTGGTATGAGGGAATCCTTTGATGGCTTCAGAGCCCCCACCCCACAAACGGGAGTCGCCAGTTGGTCTACATGGGCACAGATCGCTTTCAAGGAGCGAGGTATCGTAGGTTGGTATAGTGGTTGCAGAAGAATCTCTCCATCTACGGTGTAGGGATCCTCAGAAGGTACGACTGGACCCTCCAAACTTACATAACAGTCTCTCCAATCACCTGAGGAGGTACTTGGAACCCTAAGGGAAGTGGTCCACTCTCATCTTCAAGAGTTTGTGCTCCAGAGTCTGTCACAGAATGTGCGTGGCCTCATCTTGCCACAGCCTTTTCACCGCAGGAAGATCGATTCTTTCTCGTCCCGGATCCCCTCTGTACAGATTGGATGAAGATGGGTGCGACCGACCGTGGACTCTTCTCGCAACTGGAGCGACAACGGAGAGGGGACAACGACCTCTCCTACCCTGACCTCTGCTGGTTTTCCTACGCATCCTACTCAATGCAGTGGGCTGAAGCCGGTTTTTGGTGGGGAATTTGCGGAAGAGACTTTGAGTGAGTCCGACGGGCAGAGGGGGCGGGCAGGGGACGCGTCACAGCGGGGGCAAACCGATGATCTCTCACATCTCTCGCATCTGCTCTCTTCGTTCTGAAAAGTGCGTACATCTCAAGGACTGAGGTTGGAGGCCATCGCTAGTAGCTTGAAAACCCAGTACAATATATTACAATTAGCTTGGCCTCTCTTCCAGGAGTCTCCCGTCCGAGTGGATGTGACCGGGGCACCCCGACTTCCATGGAGTCCGCATCACGCCATAGAACTGTTGCTCTCTCTTCTCACATCTTCACAGGGCGCACGCAGCAGGGAAGCCGTACGCCGCGCCGCCCGCATCGAAAGGGTCCTCTACCACGACCGCCACACGGTTTCGCCGTGTAGAGGACCGGTGGATTCGCCGGTCGATGAACGGTCAATGGACGTGTTGGGGTGTGAAAGGGTGGTGGAACATGCTTTGTGCGTGTCCCCCAAGTAGTTTGACACTGTTGTCGCAAAAGGAGAGCTGAGATGGCGGAAAACGGTCAATGTCAAAGTGGCGGCTCGACACCCGGTGAGTGCCTGCCATGTTTGATGGATTGGCGAAGAATTTGAGGATGTGTTCACATTAATTAACATGTAAAACATATGATTTGATTAGGGAGGATTTTTGCTTGACGATGGTGGTGATTTCCTGAGGGTATAATGGCTGAGGATAATTGATCATCAGCCAATTGTGGAAGGGAGAGAGAGAGAGAGAGAAAGTTGGGGGGTTGGAACAGCAGCCACTGCGCTGGAGCAGCTGCATTGGCGCTGCAGCTCTCAGGGCCTGGGCTCCCAGTCCAGTGAGATCATCAGGTGGATCAAGCAATCTGGGTCCAGTTGGAACCGTGGTACATGTTTTACTATGAACATGTTCGATCTTGGACATATGGCCCTCTCTAACAATCCAAATCAGTAGTTGTGCCTTTATCCTGCTCTGCTTGCAATCCTGCAGTCCAGCTACATAATGTGCAAGGCAGGCGCATGCATCAACAAGGTTTCAACACATCATCATAAAAGGATATAAAAGGATATCAATGTCTAGGGGGACAACATTGTCATTCATTTTTGGTTCCTTTGTCATTTTGGCCACTTCATATTGCCACGGGTAGTTGCCAGCTATGGAGCTTCCACCCGATGATTGTGGACCACAGATCTTTAGCAACCTTGACCTGGTTTCCTTGACTCACAAAGCTGTCCCTGATTTGAAGACACCAACCCGGAAGCGAATGGAATCTGTCAGTGAGGGGTGCCTTGGACCTATGTTGAGTAACTGTCTCATGAAGCTACTTTTAACATAGGAACCCGGCCTTCCTGTCTCTTTGCCCCCAACTGGTTTTTCCAGGCTTTCTGCAGAGAAAGCACTGAAGTGCTGTGCAAAGATGTGTGTCCACCATTTCCGGGCAAGCTCACAGAGAGTCAAAAGCATGGAGGCAAGGGGTTCAACACTTCATGGATCCACAGGTGTTGATGGAGTGGTTGGCCTAACAATGGCAAGACCTTGTCATGGGTGTCCTTTAGTAATTTAGGAGTGGAGGTGGCAACTGCACAACAAACAGAAAAAGGGCACTGGGTTCCCTGAAGGAGATCCGCTCCAAGATGGCTGACCTGAACCAGGAAGAGACCAATGCATTTATCTTGGGTATTCTTGGCAAGCTATCTAAAAAGGAGAACGTGGGAGAGACTTGATTGGCTAATAATACCATGTGCAGGTTTTGGCAACATTTAGTGTGCTCTTTGGTGTGGCTATGTTTGAAGGGTTGAAGGGTTGAGTATTGGAAGCCAACCATGACTTACCATGATCTAAGGACTCACTGTCGTTGGAGTGGGCGCTGTGTGGAGCCACTCTATGCCGCAATGGTTTCTGCATTTTGCTTGGCATCAATGAGAAAAGGGTTGCTTGGCCTGCTGCAAGCAGATCCTGATGTTTCACTCTCCCCTGAAGGTTTCTGTTTGGTAATCATTTAAAGACCAAGCCACTCGCAGTGACCAGCGTTTGCAGCAAGGTGATGCGGCTTCTTGATGGTCTTGCTTTGAACCTGGTTCCACCAGACAAGAGGAAGCACAATGGCCGCGCCCCTTCCAAGGGCAACAATGTGGATTCTTTCTTCACATACTACTACTGGAACTTTGCACCTTTGTGGAATACAAAGTTGCATTGTCCCTTTTTCTTTACCTTGGCCCACTGCCCCTAACACTTGCAGCAAAAAAATCTTTGGGTAAAAGGGGAGTGCGCTGGTGTTTTTGCCATGTACCAATGAGGCTGAGACATTGGCAGAGGCACCGCCGGAGGAAGAACTGCAAGGTGCTGCTATGTGCACCTCTGGCCTCTTTCTGCCTAGCTACTTTGCTTGCTGTTTAAGGCAGAGTTTCTTTTTGTGGGTCTCAGGGTTGGGAGAAAGAGGAGTCATATATATATATATGTATATATAAAAGCAATCTTAAGTTTGCAATCTAGGTGAGGCTTCATCAGAGCTGCCAGCATCTTTCATGGAGGGCTCAGCTCACTACTCAGAAGCTGCTTTGGCAGAGGTGAATGCTCCAGCAAAAATGGTGAGACTCACACCATCGGATGGATCTACAAGTGCCTTGAACCAGTTTCTCTCAATTTTTCTGCTTTGAAAGAACTAGATAGTTTCAACTTGTTTTCTTTTCAAGTGGAAACACCACATCGGCAAAGGCTTGGCACCGCGGTACATCAACCACATGACCATGGAAGCATTCTACCAGATCTACTTGATGTGGGCCAATGGGGCAGCCCTTGATGAGTCTGAGATTGCTGGATGTTGGTGCTTCCGCAAGACCTATGACACTCAATGGAAGTCCACTTTGCGGATGCGAACTGTATCACAGCATGCCAGGTACAGGGTGTGAACACAAGTGTTTGACAAATCTTGATAACAAAGGAGGCTAGTTCCCAGTGGATACTGCATGTGGACTGTAAGCATAGCAAATTTGTGTTTCTCCTGCCCTTCAGGTGCAGTACTTGTGCAGAGTTCAGCGCCAGGTGCAACAAAGCAGCCTGTGAGTCTGACCGCTTGAAGTTGGAGGCTGTGCAGAAGGGCCACCTTCTCAACGTGCACCAGTACCGCCTCATTCAGGGGCGGTTGAACACCCTCAGCGAGACAGAGGGCTCCAACATTTTGAAGATTGACCTGGATGGCCTTGACCAGAATAAAACAAAGTTTCCCAGGAATCTAGCAAGCTCCAAGACTCTATCTAGCTGCTGGCGTCCTCAGTTACACCTGGTAGGTGTTATCGTGTGGGGTGTTACTTTGATTTGTGCAGGTACTCTTTTGGACCAGGTCAGGTGCTATGTTTCTTTTACTTTATGTAGCTGATTGTATATACAGTTACAATATATATATATAAAGACTCTGTTTTTTAATATCCATAATGCTGCTGGAAACTCTTTCCTTGAATGATTTTTCCAGCTGAGGTTGTTGAGGGATATGTCATTTTGCCACCGGATGTGGCAAAGGACTCCAGTTGCGAGGCCACGTTGGTGATGAAGGCTGTGGACTGGGCCCATGAAGAGCTATCTCGCCATGGCCGTTCTTTGCCAGAACATCTGGTCATAGAGGAGTGGCGTTGATCCCTTAAAATTAAACTGTTTGTAGGTGCAAACACACATGCCCAACCTTAATGAACCATGTCTTTTGAAATAATGATGACTAGTCCAATGTTGTTTTTGGCTTTACCCTGCAGACGGACAACTGTGTCAGAGAAGGCAAAAACCAGATCATGGCCAAGCTGAGTGCCAGTGCAATCATCACAAACCGGTCCCTCATCTGAAACCAAAAAATGTTTCCCTATGGCTGGTGTGTTTTAGTGGGGTTCCTTTTTGGTGATTTATCTGAAGGAACTTGGCCACAAGGTTCAGGTCAGTCACGCACATCTTTGGCCAAGTGGGGCACACACACGGCCCCATTGACCAGCGGTTGGGCCAAGCAGCTGCCACATTCAGCAAGCAAGCTTGCATTGAATCACCTGAGGACAGTGGAGCCTTTACCCTGGGTGTGTTTCCAAATACTCTTGGTCTTCCCATGGGATGTTTAATTCTGTTGTTCCACCCCTAGGATGTTAGTCAGTCTTGCTTTCACTGTGTCAGGATTTTGTGGATCTGCTCAAGAACCAGTTCTCACCAATCCGGAACAGAACCCTCAAGGTAGAACTACTCCCAGGAAGTCTGGATATGAAGAAATACCTGTCTCAGTACACTGTTGAGATTGGAGGCCTGGTGACCTCCCACCATGATCCAGCTGATGCAAACCATTGCTGGCGCTTCATCCGCCGCAGTGCACCTTGATCCCATTTCTCCAAGGTTTTTTGTTTGTGAATGGGTGCTTCCAATTGTTTCAAATGTGATAGCATTTGGCTGCCAATGCAAGGACCTGCCTGTCTATGATGACCAAACTGGTGAGTCGTGGGCTCCTCAAGAGATCCCAAAAGAAGCTTAGTTTAGGAAGTGTTTTTGCTTTGTGGTAAATTTTTGGGTTGGGGTCTCTCCAATTCCATAGCTGTGCAGAGAAGCTCAAGCAAGTTTGTTTTTCTATCTCAGCTTAAGGAGAGCTACCCGCACCTTCCAAACGACTGCATCCTTTTGGTCAAACACTTGGTGAACTCAGAGAGCCTGAGTCAGAGCCCAATGACTTTGCTCCCAGCATCCTTCCAAGACAAGGTGAAGGTTGGAGTGCAAGCTCTTCCCAGGAACTTGATTGCGGACAGGGCCAGAAAGGAGCAACTTGGTTTGTAAGGGCAAACCCTTATATTGTGTGTGGCTACTACCCTTCCACCCTTTTCTGCCCTCCCATGTATGAGCAAAAAACGTGCCTCAAAGATATATCACCTGCCCATGTTTGGCCTCAGGTTCCGTCGGACTGCGGATGTGGTGGAGAGGGACCCGTGGCTACTACATAAAGCTGCAAAAGCTTTGCGAGAGTGGGTGGACACTTTGCAATATAGAAGGTTTTTTTGTGGTTTGCCTGGAATGGTAGGTTCAAACTAGGTGGTGCAAAACCCTTCATGCGCCACTACTTGATTGGGTGAGGACAACAATGAGAAGCAGGAGTGGCCAGAGATTCCAGAGCCCAAGTGGTGGTTCAGTACTGATGTGCGTGAGCTGGGTGTGGAACCAACTCCCAATGGGCATCTTGACCAGTGTTGGCACACTTTGGAAAACATGTTGCTCACCCTGTATTAGACCCAGTCATGACTAGAAGCATGAACATGCTGTCTTACTCCACACATCTTGATCAGCAAGGTGGGAGAAATTTGCACCTGGGCCAGTGCGGCAGGTTACCATCACCCCGGGGGCTGCCATTGGTGGAGAGCCAAAGAGACGTGGGAGACCTCCTAAAAGGAAGGATGCTGAGGTAGAGAAAGTGGTACCGCTGGGGGAGGGTGAGCAGGTCTTTGGGCCCAGGTCCAAAAAACGGAGCACTGTGGTTCCTCCCACAGAGGAGATCGTGCCTAAAGATCTCTTTGGTGCTGCTGCTGACCTACCTGCTGACCCACCTGCTCCAGAGATGCCTTGGCCTACCCGGGCAACCTTTGCAGGCAGGAAGAAGCCAACTAATGAGGAGGCTGGTGCAATCTTTGAAGCTCGGAGGTCAAAGTTCTATGAAATGGTGCCTTCTCAGTATTGGCGGGATGGGCTTGAGCGGGACTACTGGAACAAGTGTGTCCAGGGTGGCTGTGTGGATTTGGCAGTGGAGGAGTTCTTGAAAGACCATGGTGCAGCAGCTTCAAACCAAGGTGCTGGTCGTGGGCGTGGGCGTGGCCGTGGCAAGCAGGCCAAGGCGAAAGCCATGCCCAAGGAGCCTGGCAGGAACCGAGGCCGTGGCCGCAGCAAGGCTCTGGGCAAGCGCTAGGTGCTGTGAAATGTGGCTGGTAGCAAGTTTGGGGTAGGCCCAGAATCAATCAAGCTGATTGATGGCCACTTTTTGTGGGATACGTTTGGGTGTGGGAAAGCCTGCATCCCTTCAATGTCATCATGACATCGGGTGACATGAGCTAGATTGTCTACAGCAAGTGAGCCGATGGGAGAAGCAAAGATGCTGAAGTTATCACCCTTCAAGTTGACACTTCAAAACAAATTCAATGTTATGCTTTTTTGGAGATTGCACCGGCCTTCTTCATGTGAGCTCAGGGTACTGCTGGTTGTATCAAAAAGCATAGCCAAACAAGACTAGGACCATGCACTCTGTTTCCATGACTGTTAGTCAGACTGCTAATGTAATTGTCTAACATCACAACCACCTGACCACCCTGCTGCTATGGTGGATTTGCATCACAGTGATGATGATGCTTGGGTTGATCTGGGCCCTGAGATCTCCCCTGCCCCTCAAAAGCCAGTTGTTGGTAACAAAAGAAAAGCTCAGCGGACATGTCCTCAGATGTCCAAGAACCAGCCCAAGCCCAAAACCCAAAAGCGCAAGCTGCCTTCTGCAAGTGCAGAGCTAGAGCTGCCATCTGATGATGATGGTCTAGTCCTTGACCTGCCAGGGCGGGCTCCAGTGGTTAAGGACACTGAACATCAGGTATGTGATTGCGAGGACTCTTCATTGAAGGCTGCTGCATCCCGTGTTGCATCAGTGGTTGACAACAAGTACATAGACCTCTTAGACATCCTGAAAGGCCAAGTTCCTTGTGCTGTGGAGATGCGATGCCACCTTTGGGAGATCTTTTCTGTACCAAGGTGCACCCCCAGAGTTCGTGAATTGGGTGGCCGTGCACGCCGGAGCTATGATATCAAGCATTATTGGGACCTATCAGCAGAAAGTTTCCAGCGCACAACCATGCAGGATGTGTTGCTCCTTAAACCTTTGTGCTTGTTCATGAGTCCACCATGCACAATGGTGTGCAGCATGCAGCACAGTAACTGGCGCCGGATCAAGCACAAGGACAAGTTCATGTGCTTGAAAGAAGCGCTGGACTTCATTGACTTCTGCGCTTGGCTGGCCTTGCTCCAGCTGACCATGGGCTTGTTCTTTGCTTTGGAGCACCCGGAGAAATCCTTAGCGTGGGATCGGGCTTCGGTCCCTCTGATGCAACAGGGGTGTCCATTCTTCTTTCTAAGCTATAGTGACTATAGTGGGTCATACATAGCTACAGTTGGCATATGACCATGGTGCTTTGCGAATGGTGTATCCGGTAGTATGCCAACTTAAGTTGCAAATGTAACAAAAACATGAGAATGGGCAGTGGGCAAGCTAAGAAAGAAAGAACCTTGTTCTTTGTCCTCTTTCTCTCTCTGTTTTACTCCTCTCTGCAAACTGTAGAGTTGAATGTATATACAACAAATATATAATATGTATGCATATACAGCAAATAGATCCTCTGTTTGTCTTCTCACCGCAGCAAAAAGAATCTGACAAACAGGTTTATCCTCAGCAAATACCAAAACCATCTTCTCTGTATGTGCAATCTTTGTGCGCATCTTTCTTATATACATGAATTCTGCACTTGCAACCAGGAAGTTGCAAGTGTGTGTTCATTGTTTTCATGATGTTCTTGTTTGCCTTGGATGGTCCTTCAATAGGTTCTTATGCAATCCTTGATTCCCTATACTCCCACAAAATAGGCCTCATGCTGATTCATGCCCCATGAGGGCCTCCACCGTGTTCATCTGGCACCTAAATTTGGGCACCAGATGAACACCAATTTGGGGCACCATAATCCAGAGCCAAAGGTTGGTCTGGGGCTGTGAGCAGAACAACAAACACACACCATGCAATGTCCGCTATGGAATGGCACTTCTTGTGCAAGTTGTAACCCGATAGCAATGAAGTTGTGATTTGATCTCCCCTTACAACATCACCATTCCAAATCTTGTGGAACAACAGTGGGGCAACAAAACTTGCACTCCCAAATCCACCCAAAACTTGACATGCAAAATCCCTTTGACAAATCCCCTGCGCTGGAAATCCTATGTGCAATCCATGTCAGGGCAACTGCGGGAGGTGTTTGTTTGGTGGGCACACCCTTTTTTGGGACTTGGAGGTATGGAGAGTAGGAGTGAGTGAAGCCTAGAACCTGCAACCAGGTGCAGAACCTTACCAAGAAGGATGGTGTGAAGAAGGTCACCTTTGACCAGTGCATGTTTGATCTCCGGGCTCCCTCAGGGAAGTTCCTGCGGAAGAGAACATGTCTACTTACAAACAGCAATGCCATTGTCATGGCCTTTGACAAAAAGTTCTGTGGTGGCCATCACGAGCACCAACGGGTGGAAGGCTCAGAATGTGGCCAGAAGAGGTCTCTACTTGCACAGGTGTACCCAGGGCCAATGGTGGATGCCATAGCTCATGCTGTGCTGCTAGAAGGCAGCAGAGTCCCTGGTTTCTGACCAGTTTTGGAACACTTGGAGAGCTGTTGCGGGGAGTCCAAAAGAGCAGGAAATGTATTGTAACTATAATGGCAAAGAGTGTGGAGGTAGCTATCTTGTAGAAGGGATGTTTTGTTTTTGGTTTGATTTGGGGGTCGGAGATCGGCGGATTTCAGATGAAACCATCTGAAGTTCTACACCGGAATCAAACACAATGGATATCATCAGACTCACTCAGTTTCTGTTCAAGTTTTTTGGGTAACATCCTAACTCTAACTTCCCCAGAGGCCTCAAGATCGGATGGTTTCATTTGAAATCGACCTAAATCGTTGGATTCTCAGATGAGATCCTCAGGGCCAAGCAAATCTGCGCATCTCAGCATGCAAAATCTCATGGGTAGACTTAGGATGGTTTCATTTGAAAGCTGCCCAATCCCTGGGGGTTTTGGGGTGGCCAGCGCATCTCATGGGTCAGAAATCAGACCCCTGAGTTCAGCTAGGGGGTGGTTGCCACATAAAGGATTGGGAGGGTTTCATTTGAAACCAGCTGAAGTCAACCCCTCAAATTCTGCACCCTGACTTCAGCAGATTTTGGGTCCAGTGTTCAGCGTTGCATATGGATGGGATGAGCACCATGGCAGAGGATGACCCTGGCCTGTTTGACCAATTGGAGACTTGGGCTCAACATGGCACTTGGTTCAAACAGTGTACCAGTGATCTAGCATGTAAAGGTGTTGGTGGGCAGTTCCACTGGTTACCCTGGCGCCCCTTCAGGACAAGGAGCGCAATCTGGATGCTGTGATGTCTGGTTCACCTAAAGGAGATGAATCCACAACAGCAGCTGGAAGTGACATGCTGTCCGATTCAACCTTGCCTTTGGACTCGGTGTTTGAGACCCTGTATGACTCAGTGTGCAAAGAAATTGAAAGCACCTCTGTCCCCAAAGTTGCAGACCTTTCTTTGTCCCTATGTGGGTGTGTTAGGATTTGTTCAACCAACCCAACATGTGAAACCTTCCCACTTTTGAGGTGCTGGAGGACCACGCCAGTACTTGCATGCTGAATTCCCTGTCCGCAGTGAGAGGGCAAAGGGCATTGCCAAGGTAATGGAGGTGGCACTGGGGATGTGTGAAGACGTTGACTATGCTACAGACTACCCTTTGCCAGTATGCTTCTCTGGCTACTTGGTCCTGTGCATGCACATGGGGCTGTGTATAACTGTTTGGGTATAGGCACAAGAAATTTAAAAGTACTTTGTTGGGTGGTGTTTCCAATCCCAGGAGCAGAAGATGAACAAGCACCGTTCTTTCTTCCATTGGGGGCTTTCTCAGCTGAAGCAGAGAGCTCACTCAGGGAGCCACCATCCCTTGATGTTGCAATCAAACTCATCAACAACTTCCACAAGCATGGATTTCAAACTACAGGTGTCCCTATTCTGATTCGGCTGGAGGTGGGGCCATGGGATGTGTTCTAGTTTTGTGTTGTGTATTCAGCTCCATGTCCCCACCACCTTCAAACCTGACTGCACCAGCCCTGCAGACAGCGAGCCTTCCAGACAGTGGTGAGATTGAGCCCGGCTCCATTTACTTCCTGAAGGGTGCTGCCAGGATCCAAACAGCCATGGCTGTGGTTGTGGCTTTGCACAGGATGGGTCATGAGGTGTGGTGTGGTCCAAACAGACTTGGTTGGGAACCAGACCTGTTCCTGTTCCTTAGAATTTAGAGACATATGCACACTTGGAGGTGCCATTGATTCTGAAGAAGTCTCTCCAACGCATCAAGTGCAAGCACATCAGGCTCAGAGACCGTCAAGCTGAACTGTCCCATGTATATGTTCCAGTGCTGCTTTTCTTTACCTCTAGAGGTAGTGATGGATAGCTCAGGGTACAGGATAAATCCTCCACAAATTGCTTACTTTCACATGTGGTGCCTGACAGTGGGCACCATGAGTGAAAGTATGGAAACCAAATTACCTAGGGTCAGATTGGGTTTCTGAGGGCTGAATGCCATTGATTGGCCTTTGCCAGTTGTTTACCAAATTGCAGGGGTGAACCCAGATAACCGCCCAGGTTCTACAACATGAAGAAGAGTTCCTCTGATGCGATCCGGCGTGCGCCAAGTGCAATCTCATGGGTATTTAGCTTGGTCAACCTGTCAGCGTGGGGCCATTCTGATTCCCAGTCCCTCATCAAGGCATGGAAGCTTGGTGGAACAAAAGCAAGACCTCAAAGCTTTTAGGCCTTTCGTGGTGAATGAAAACAAAACTAAAAGGCAAGTTTCTTCCCACTAAGAAGCAACAGGGGTCCTGAAAGAAACCTTCCAGGAACGATGATGCTGCAAAACATGACCGCATTGCTGGCTACAAGTACCAGGCTGTTAAGACCATCCTAGAGCTCCCTGAAGCTGCTAGGAACATAATCCTTGGCACAGTCAGCCTGTATGGTTGGGAGGGTGGCTCATTCCTTATTACAGCAAGAGTTTCTGTTTTGGTGGCTGGTACACCCTACCACACGATGATGCTTCTGTCCACTATATTTGACATTCAGGTTGCCCCTACACGGATGATGCACTGGGATCGAAAAAGCTTCTGGTTGGCTACAACTCCAAATCTGGCAAGCTCTCCAGAACATCCCCCTGGACAACAAGATTGAAGAACACCAAGGAGTCTGTGGTTCTTCTCTTCAGGATGGTCCACAATCAGTACACCAACATGCCACCCAATCACAGGAAAAAGTTGACCAAGAGCCAGCTAGAAGAGAAGGCTGAGATTACTGCCCTTGCCTGTCACTAGTCTGAATGTTGTTTCTTTTCTTGTGCACATATGACCTTAATAACCCAGCATCTAGGAACATAACTACAACTAGTGTATTTGTGTGTTTCTTTTTGCAAGTTGAGGTTCTATTGTGGATGAGCTCACGTCCCAGGTTCCCAATGTTGCCCCGGTCCTTGAGGAGAAGCTTCTTGGTGCCAATACTGAGTTTTTGATCTCAACATGGAAATGTCCAAGTTCCATGGGACACCAAAAACAAGTGGGGTACATTGGGTACATAGCACCCTTTGTGTGGTTGGTGTTTAATTTGGGTCATGTTTTTGACCAACATCAACTTGATCCACCAAGGTTCTTGGAGCGGCTCCGGCGTGGAGACCCCGGTCTTGAGATGGAGCTCGGATCGGCCTGCTCTGCAAAAGATGACAAGTGGGGGCCACGCGACAACGGGTGTGATGTGGCTTCTATTTCAACCACTTATTTCAATGCTTTCCCCAGTGAAATCCTTTTGTACCTGTCCACCATAGGTTAGGTGAAAAGAAAACTAAGTTGGGGAAGGGTGTGGTTCTTTAGTCTTGTGAGTGTGGCCCACAGGTATTCTGGAGATATTGAATGGGCTGACTGCTGGGAAAGGTGAGGCGATCACTGGTTCAAGTGAGGCTGCTCTCTTCAAGTCTGCCACTGACCTCGATGCAGCTAGCTACATGCTGGCCTTAGAGGAAATTGCATATGATGAGCGATGCCTCCAGGTGTACTTGGGTAAAATGAGCAACCATGAGGTCCGCATCACCCAGTTGAAGGAGCAATGGAACCGGAAGAGGCAAGAAGGAGCCAAGGAGGCTGTCCACAAGTGGGTGGACCAACATGCACCTTGGATACTATTATTCATATGACCTATTCCACCAAACTGCAGCCCCAGCAGCACACCAATCACCCAAAAAGAAGGGAACATCTCAACAGAGTAGGTTTGGAGAGGGTACTGTGTATCTTTTGTCCCTCTGGTTATTTTTGTCGTTGTTGTTGTTGTTGTTGTTGTGGCTTGCCTTGTTGCTGAAGTGTTTGTTTGCCTACCATCTTGTGTGTGTGCACTACTGCTGCACTTTTGTTGTCCAAGGTGGATGCAAACACATGGCCTTCCAAGTTTGATGCTGGGACAGCTTTGAGCATGATGCGGAGCATTGAGGAGGCTGCATCCAGGTGGCGAGATTCAATGAAGTGCCGGAACATTGTTCCTGGATATGTGCTTGTAAGTGCAACCTTTTCTTGTTTCTGCTGTTTTGTTTTGTGTGGGTGCCAAATCCTTACAGCACTTGTGAACATATTCTGAGGCCCTGCTCTTCATTTGCAACTATGCATCTCCCAGTCTCATCAAGAGTGACATCACTGCTGCCACCTTCAGCATGGTTGGCCACATGCTTGGCTCAGAGTTTGGTCCACAAGCATGTGGGCTGCTGCTATGCCCGGTCTACTCATACCAGAAACATCATTTGTTTCTTGAAGAGCATGCTTTGCTCAAGATGCTGAACAACAATTCGTGTTCTGTGGATACCCTCTTCCAGCTCAATTTTGACATCAAGTCCAAGACAGAGACCTCCCCACAGCCTAGATGCACTTTTCTTGTCTAGTTTTTGCTTTTTCAACATCCTCCCAGAAATCAGTCCTTTTCTCCTGGCCAATCAGGACCAAAGAGATCAGCGTCCTATGGCATACACTGGCCGGTTTCTTGCTCCAGCCAATGCAGGAAGCGATTGGGCTTGGCGTGAGTCTACCCTCTTTAAGCTTCGTCGCAACACGAATGAGGCTTTGCAGCTGGCAAGCAAGCAAATGGTGATTCAGGAAGACATGAACCCGAAGGCCCTTCCTAGCACAGATGCTGGAACTTTACATGGCGCCCAAAAGTATGCCCAGATTGGCTCTGATGCAGCCCGGAAGCTGTTGTCATCTGCGCTGGAACCTCTTCTGGGCCATAAACCTTTCTTGTTGGCAACACTTTGCTGAGGTTTGGGGTTCTAGACTCTAGCCCTGTTGAGGTTTCCAAAACCAGTTGCCAGTCTTGTCCAGCAAGCAGTCATTGCTAAGGAGGGTGTGAACTTTGGGAATCACACATCCCTTCTTGTGGTGGACACAACGCCGCTGGTTGGAAACTTCTTTGAGGCCTACCTGGAGGTGTCCAAAGATACCAACGTGCCCATGAAGTATGTTCCACTTTTTGCAGATGATGGGCATCAGGAATGGTTTTCTGGCTATTTTCACCAAG